ATAAAAAAAAAAAAAAAAAAAAAAAAAAAACAATTTGGGAAAGCCTCTCTTGGGAAAACAAGCCAACAAAATGTAATGACACCCACTAAACCTAGTTTGGTCCCCCTTAGCTGTGGGGTTGGGGTGATCATTATGAACACACCTGCTAAGTTCTTAAAAATGAGGAATAGCTATCAACTTTCTGGCAAGTTACCTTAAATATGTAGTTAACAAAGTATCTTCCAAAGAAGAGTTTTCCAACCTCCAAAGTCAGTTCTTCCTGCTTCTAATACTTCATGACTGTGTGCACACTTAGGGAAAATCAGCCTCTTTAACCTGAGCTCTGAGCCTTTGTGTCCTGCATTTAAACCAAAAACCACATCTCCCCTCTGATTTAAAATCTCCTCCACAGCCTTATTGTTGAGAAGATTTCTGGTATATGACTTAGTGCTCCAGTTTCTCAAGAAGCATGAGTTTTAGCAGAACATTCCCATGTTTCTTAAAACGCTTCTCAAATTTATCATAGTTAGGCAGGGATCAAAGTGACCCAGCATTTGGCTTTTTGGAATCAAACTGCCCATAATGAGCAGCACCGGGATTGAGAGGGGCCAGGTCAGCTCACAGGCACTCTGGCCTCTTCATTGCAGTGGTTGCTGATTGGATGGGACACTTTATTATACTCCTATTCCCTCTGCAGCTGCCCAACCAAGGTTGGCTATACTGGATACTATTTGAGTTGATTTGTCTGAAGCCAAGTGACAAAAAGACCAGCTTTCCCCACTTGCATCTTTGAAAAAGTGGGTGTGGAGATTCACAGAAAATTTTTACAGCTGTCCCTTTGAAGCCCCCACAATAGAAAATGTGATCAGCTGTCTGGGTGTAACTACAGCTGCATTTACCAAATTTGCATTGAGGGTGAATATGTTAGTCACAGAACATTAAAGAATGTCCTAAGGATTTGTCATGATTGATCACCTTTTAGAGTATCTGACAGCAATAGGAGAGTGGAAAGGATATATTTGTAACCAAGGATGGTGGATGGCACTCACCTGTAATTCTAGCCACTCAGGAAGCTGAGGCAGGAGAATCATAAATTCAAGCCCAGCCTGGGCAACCTAAGGGGACCCTCTTCCAACTAAACATTTTTGCAAAAGGCTGGGGGTGTAGCTCCATGTTAGAGTGCTTGTCTAGTATATGCAGGACCTTGGGCTCCATCCCCGGCATCAAGGGAAAAAAGCATGTGTTGGTAAGGCCACACTTCATTTTTTTTTTTTTTTTACTATGCCTGTTCTGAGGCCTAGAATCGGGCAGAAACTGAGTGAAAAGTCATTAGTGGATCCAAATTTGCTTTTGCCAGCCCTCTTCCATTCATTCCCACAGAGCACCTCACTCAATCACATTTGCTTGGACACTCATACCTCTGTGTGTCCCTTCAGAGGGAGTCTCCTTTCAAAAACGCTGGATTTTCTCTCTGGGGAAAGACTGCCCCCTGCTGGTTTGGCTCTAGCCTTGGTCCAAAGCTTCTCTTGGTCTGGATTCTTAGAAATTAAGAATTTAAAAGCCAAGCTTACCACAATATACTCAGACTAGTATAAGCCTGAGTTCTGTGGCCTGGCCAACCTTGACACCAAGGCCCTCAGGATTAGTGTTCCCCCCAAGAGCCAAGCAGAATGATACCCTTTTCCTGTCTCCATCTTCCCCAAACCCATTACTGAATGTGGGCCAACGTGTCCTTCCTGTCTCCTTCATCTTGAACAGCTGTCATTTCAGCCAGTTTTTCTCAGAACTGAACCAGAACAGAATACACTGGGTGGAGCAGGGGTCCCATATAGACAACATCCTTGACCTACAAACCCTTAAACAGCAGTGGCTGAAATCACTCCACAGCCTGCCCTGCCCAGTGGTTCACTGAATCGTGAAATTTTCTTGCCCAAACAAAGCTTCCCGAGTGCAATCAACATATGTGGTGTTTTGGAGCCATATGTTCTCGCTTTCTATTTTGGAAGCCTTCAGCTGTCCTGCTTATGTACTGTATGTAAATTTATTCTTTTAAAAATAAAATCATTTTTGTTTGAGTATGATTTCTTATTAAATGCTTTGAAAATCAGCATTCTGTGTCCTTGATTTGTTTTCTTAACCTAGATCTTTTCTCTTTCATTGGACTGGAGTTGGAAAGAGGGGGCCAAGATAAGTGGCAAGCTATCAATCCTTAGTGGTTGTCATAATTTGATCACATGCATTTGCTGGCGAACTTCACAGTGGCCACAGGTATGATATATGGGAAATCAGTGGTACAACAGCATGCTTAAATCCCCAACTGCTTGGTACTAAAGAGCCTCCTTTTACTGTATGTGGAGATGTCACTATGTGTTGAACGGCAAATATGATTATAGGTGTTGCTAGTTAAGGCCACTAACACATTTCATAGGTGAGTACACTCCCTGCTTAACCAAAATAATACTATCCTAATTCAAATTCACTGCAACAGTATGCTCTGCCCTGGATTTGCTCTTTGACATGGTACAAGAAGTTGACTCTCTAATCTGCAAGGACAAGTCTAGGACAAGTCTAGGACTCGATTTCTCCTGTGAGCAGGAAGTGCCTTGTATTTATTACCTAATATGATGGGCACTGTTGGGATGAGATGTCCTGGGGAGTTTTCCCAGGAGAGAAGACACGGGGTGACAGAACTGCAGTGCAAGATCTGAAGTGCTAGGGCTGTAGGAGACAGATAAGTACACCATGGGATCTGGGAAGAGGGGGAGATTAATTCCAGCTTAAGGGCTGCCACAAATCAAAGATGACTCTGTAGAAGCATTGCATGAGCCAAGCTGAAATAGATAGGGTTGTCCCTGGTCAGAAGTGCTTCTCTGAACGCTGCCAGGTCTTAAAAAAAAAAGCCAAAAAAACAAACAATCCCAAAACCCCAAACCAAACCTGCCTCTGTGCCTTGGTCAGTGTAGTGAAGCAAAGGATGTGCAAGGTGTTTGGATGCTGCAAAACCGAGCCACAAGAACAGGCAGGAAGTGTAAGGAGCCCCTTCTGGAGGAGGGAACATCCAGGGGTCTCTCACACACTCATCCATCACCCCTCACTTGTGTATCTCAGTCTGCCTCAGGCACCTTCCCCTCTGCATCTCTGAACTGCTCACTCACAATTTCATGCCCCCCCCCCAGTTCTGTCCTACGTGAAGATGACTAGCAGCTGGGAACTGGGAACTTGGTCTGTGTCCTTCCTTGGTCTTCTCCTCACTCAGCTCCCTGAAGAAGTCCTGTGAAACTTCATTTGTAAAATATCTTATGATCCTAGCTCTTCTGGGGACCCCCTCACTTTCTCTTTCTGAATGAATCCCTGACTCTGTAGTAAGAGACTACATAAAACCAAGTGGAATTGGAGTATAAACTGACCTCTTAATAGATGTTTTCCACAAAGATGCTTTTCTTTCAAAAAACAAACAAAAACAAAACTTTAAAAAGCATACTGGCCTGTAATCCCAGCACTTTGGAGGCAGAGGCAGGAGGATCACCAGGAGTTCAAGGCCAACCCAGGCAACATAATGAATTCAGGGTCAGCCTGAACTGCAAAGGGAGACCCTGTCCCCCACCACAAATGTTTTTAAATAAAAAATTTTAAAAATAAAAAGCATACTGAAAGATTTGCTGTTTAAAAGTCATATAACAATTCCTCCTTTCTGCAAACATAAGGCTTTAATAAATTACTTTAGGCACAACATGCATCTGTTGTTTTCTTAAAGTGGGGCACACCTGTAGGACAGACTTGAATATTTACAGATGCACATAAAGAATGAGAGTTGAATGTGGGCCATGAAATTCTTAAAACTGTAGCCACATGAGACAAGGGAGCTGTATGAAGCCAAAAATTCTTCTTCCTTTTCCACGCCTGTCTATATGGCATGCAAAAATAAACAAGAGAAGCAAAGATGTAGCTAGGAGTTCCAGCCGTAATGCTTCTTTTATGCACACACTTAATACATCTGCTGGCCTTGCTCTTTCTTGCTATGACGTTAGGGTCCCCGTGGACATAGTACAAACAAGCTTTTCTCCAGTGCAGGTGTCTAAAGAATGTCAGCACCTCTTTAATATGCACAATGCTGGCTTCAGATCATTGCAAGTGAGACAGGGCAACACCGTGCCCTAGCTGTGTACCTGCGAGGGCTGAGTCAGCTACCGGAGTGCATGAGTTGAGATGACCAAGGCTCCATGGGATTCTGCTCTGCAGGTCCCCTCTGCCACATGGGAACCAGATGGGTGGCACTGTGAGTGGGGTGTATCATGCACAGAGCATACTAAACAGACCATTTTAGCCATCTTAATTAGGCACTGATAAAAAGATGTTCAAGGACCTTGAAGATCAAAAAGGAGTTTCCACTGTGACCCAATACAAAGCCCAGTGACAGGTGTGCCCAACGTTGATTCCTGAAGTCCCCCTCACCTAACTGATCTTCCCACAGCATTTATGGGGTGCTTCTCTGTCTGGCGCACCTTGCTTCACCTAATTCCGAGTCACCCCAAGTCCTCCTTGTTTCAATGTTCTGTCCAAGACTCACAGCCAAGAGACCTCTATCCCCTCCCACCTCTTCCTGGGCTTTTTATTCCTTATCTGTCCTGCACCAAATGAGGCGGTTTACACAAGCTTCCATCCGTTGTAACTGGTGTAGCTTGAAAACCTGCAAAGGAAGTGCTTAATTTAGGGGCAGCCTTGTTTTCATTCCTCATGACAAGTTGAGGCTTGTGGAAAATGGAAAATTCTCTTTGCTTCCAAGTTTGACATCAAAAAGACATATTTATTGAACCCAGGGTCTTCACCCTGAGCTTCATCTCCACACCACCCCACCCCTTTTTCTTTATGAGACAGTCTTAAAGAGGCTCTACACTGTCCAGGCTGAGGTCGACTTGGAACCCTCTTGCCTCAGCCCAGAGTGGTTGTTCCCATCTTAAAGGGCAGATTACTTGATGTCTGACAAGTGCTCTCAATTTCAATACAGAAGCAGCTCCTTCTTATCCTTGAGTGTCTCCTAACATTGGAGGAGGGCTGTTTGAAATTCTAATGCAGTCATGGGATGCTCTTGGCTTCTTCAAGCACAGTGAAGGCCAAATTTCATGAATGAGTGAAAAACTTGTGTGGTCCATGAACCTATTTTACCATACTGCATTTGTCACATGGAAGAAAATATGCACAGGTTTGGCCAGACCTAATTCAACTAACCCTTTGGCTAGAGATATTTACTCAGCCTACATTCTGGCTATGATGTCCATAGTTATCCTCTGGACACTGAAATTGCTTTGTGTCTGCTTTGCCCTTCATCGCGCCCAGCTTGTTTGTTAAGCAAGGCCATTTGGCTTTTCTGCCTTTAATCAAGGTCATTTTTTCCCCCTACATCAGTTGTGGTTAGGGGTCTTAGAGAGCTGCTCAGATTATCCCATAAGTATACTGCCTTAACATGATGGACTCATTTATTGGTTTTTGTTGTTGCTGTACTGTAGTTTTTTTGTTTTTTGAATGTAAGCTTTCAATATGCGTCCCCCCACCTCAGACTGCCATTACCAAAATGCCATGGGCTGAGAGGTTCACAAACAACAGCAACTTATTTCTCACAGTTCAAGAAGCTGGGAGTTCAAAGTCAAGGTGCAGTCCAGACGGATTTCTGACTTACTGGTGACCTCTTCTCTCGTGTGGGCACAAAGCGAGACAGAGAAAGCACAAGCTCTCTGTCATTACCTTGTAGAAGGTTATGACAAGGACCACAGCCTTGCAGCCTACCCTAGTCCTAAAAATCACCTTCCAAATGGCACTGCAACGAGAGGATGGGGTCAATATATGTACATTGTGGGTACAGACCTTCAGTCTACAGCAATACACATAAAGGTCCTAATAACCTAAGCCAGAACTTAGAAGATATTCAATGCCTCAGATGCTTTAGTTGCTAAAAAGGCCTATTTTGCTTAAAGTATGTGTCCCTTTAAGACAACCTGTTTTTCAACAAGATGGACAAGAGCCAAAGCCAATACCTAAGCACTAAGGTTATTGATATTTATACGAAACTCCAAGCATGGAGGTTGACTGAGAAGCAAGATCTGGAGTAATGTTTTCTTACTCTCCCCTCACTGTGGAGAGCACAAGTATCAGTAAGGCTGGCTGTTTGCTAGTTAGGCTACTCCTGAAGTTGAAGAATACTCATTGAATGTGTTTTCAATTCAAAACACATCAGTTGACCTGGTAAGGCCTGCATCTAGGAATGTAAGCTAGGGGAATATTGTATTGCTCAAGTATGAAAGTCACATCTAAAAGTCATATTTCATTAATGCCATGCACATCTGTCTATGAAACACCAAATGTAGGTGTTTGCACTGTTGCATCTATTAGGACTGGTTTCTCTTGGGCTCTATGTCAATGCTATGAGTTTGCAGGAACACTGCGATGGCAAAGGGTTGGAAATAAATGTCCATCAACAGAGGAAGAGCTGAACAGATTGCGGCCATGTACACAATAGAACACTGCACCATCTACAACATGCAGGCTTTTTATTTAGAGACAGGCTCGGTAAGTTACCTAGCCTACCCTCAAACTGGGGATCATCCCGTGCCCAGTGGTACAATTTTTTATAGTTGGTTTGTGACTTTTAACTTCTTGATTTTCAGTGTCATTTAGATTTAAAAGAAACTCGTAAAGTCTCAATATTTTGGGTCAGTCAGTAGTACTCAATGAGTTATGGACCCCAACTCACTCTTGTTAGGTGTCTCAAAGCATTTATTGGCCATGTGATTTTTGAGCAAGGGAACAATCTCTGAAGTTCAACTGTTTTCATCCTATAAATCAAAACTTCCTATTCTGTCCCAAAAAAGTAAAAACACGCTCACGTGTGAGAATGTAAACATGAGAGCGATGTGAGCTGTAAGCTAAAACAAAAATCAATTATGCTTAATTTTCCCTAATGACAGAACTCCTTTGTACTGCAGCACGTGCTCTTCCATAAAGACTTCTGGCAACACCCGCCCAATTCAGAGGTTTCATCCCGGACAGGGGAAGACGAGCTGGCTGTGAAGTTTCCACTCACAAGCTAGGTTTGATTTTTCTAACATAGCTGACACTGTTTTTCTTCTGATTGTTTCCTGCTTCGGAAACAGATGGACAGAAACATCTACATAATGCATGGTGCGGATCTCTCCCCTTTTGTGCAGGAATACAATGTATAGTTAGTTAGGTATTAGTGGTGTTTTCACTGATTTCTGGCTATCCAAAAACTATTCGGGTGGCTGGGTGCTAGCAGAACAATGATTCCACTCACTTCAACAATGGCTATCATCATTCTCAAGCCATGATTTTAAATGTAGAGAACTTGAAACTGAGGCCTAATATCTTATTAGTAGTTATAGCCCAGTAAGCCATCATGAGCAGGGACGCCAATTCTAAAACTCACGTGCTACTTTAACCTGCAGATATTCAGCTGTTGTACAGTTAAAATTATTACAATGCCACATACTGCATTAGTTTTTCTCAGCTTTACAGAGGCACACCCTACATCTTAAGTACAACTTCCTCAACTAACACACAGAATCTCCACTGCTCTGGTTTCCCATCAATTCCATTCCCAGAAGGGCCAGGGATGTAGCTCAGTGGTGCTGAGCCTGCCTGGCAAGCTCAAGGTCCTGAGTTCAATTCCTGGTACCAGGAAAAAATAAAAAAATTAAAAAAAAAATCAGATTTTGACTTTTCTAGACTTTCATACAAATGGAATCACACATAGTCTTCTGGGTTTGGCTTTTGCAGTTAGCGTAGTATTTTGAGATCTGTGCTATTCTGAGAACAGTAGTTCATTCCTTCTGCTAAGAAGTACTCCATAGAACAGATATACTACAACTTAAGCTACTATAAATAACACTGTGAACATTTGCATACAAATCTTTCTATGGCCATATGGCTTAACCCACAAGTGATGGATAGATTGTAGTGATGCTTCAGGCTTTAAAAAACTGCCAAACGAATACCTAAAGTGGCTGTATCATCTTACATTCTCAATAGCAGTGTGAGAGAGTGTCATTTGTCTCACGAGTCTTTTAAATGTAAGCAATTTTAATGGGTGTACAGTAGTTTGACACTTTTTTTTTTTTTTTTTTTTTTGCATTTCCCTGGTGACGAATGGTGTGGAGTGTCCGTACATTTGCTTACTAAGGAAGCACATCTTGCTACAATAGACAATGCTGCCCTGATTTAAGGTTGTAATATTGCTTTATTTTTGTTAGTAAACTCAGCAAAAGCTCCATAAACTAATTCTCTTTCATTTATCTTTATTAGCAATTTCTACTGGGACTTACTTTAAAATTTTAGATTTTATCATGTTTCTTATCATCTCAGTAGGAACTGAAATTTCTGACAAACAATAGACCCGATTTTTTTTTCAGGAGATAGTAGCTCCTTCTTTCAAGAGATGGATTCTAGACTGAAGCATGAAATTTAGAAATTAGGATGTAAGACTAGGAGGATTGGCAGAAATCTAGCTTCAGAAAATAGGAGATCTTCTACTTCCCTCTAAAATAAGACTGAAACTAGCAGCTCAATTAAGTGTTTAAAACCTTCGTTTTATAACTGATCAGTAACAGTAACATGTACAGCCTACCTGGCCCCTTTTTAGCTGAACACATCTATGTTGCATGTGCCTGTACTTTCTCTCAGATGCCAGCAAGGGTAAAGAAATACCTTTGCAAGAATGAATATACCACAATGAAACCCACCATTCTGAGCAATTACTATGCACTAATAAGCAAATAAAGATATAGAGTGTTCTGAATACTTGTGTTACAGGTTTTTCTTTCACTTTGAAGTGACTTCAAAAGCTGTAACTGCTTGACCATAATTGATTCTTAAAGGTTTTCTAAAAATGGTTATATTCTGTTGTTTCCCAGTGACGAATACATATAAAGGCGAAAGCTAAAACCCAGGGTTAACTCACACTCTGCAATGTGCAGTGACCCTGTTTCATCGATGAGGAAAAAACAGGATCCTGTTCTGTGGGAATCGTTGGTGTCAGCAAGGAGCTCTGATGTCTGAGCAGCATATCTGCTCCAGAACTGGTCTGCCCACATCTGGGAGTGGACCTCTTTGGCACCCCACAGATACTCATTTGAAACTGCACCAGCCAGACTAATGCATGCAGCTAGCTGCCCAAAGAGTCAGACAGTGCTTTTCACTTTATTAAACATTAAAGCACAAATGGATGTTCCCTATGGAGGTGGGCTAAAGAGTATCAGGGGAAGAGAAAGGACACTCGGGGAGAGAATCACACAACAGACCCAGCTTCACAAAAAGGGCTCGATATTGATTTCCAGGGAGGAGCATGGCATGGTCAGCTCAAATCTGGTGATGACATCAGGATGAAGGACTCCAAGCTTCCCAATGCTCTGACCCCTGGCAAAGATCTCAGCACATCGCCCGGGGAAGAAAGGAGGTCCTAAAAAACAGAGTCAGAGAGAAAAATCGATGTCACTTCTGGGAAAAATATCAATAGGCATTTAACATTAAAAGCCTACAGGTCTGCTTTAAAAATAACTATTCTTTAAACCACTGGCTGTGAAAATAGAGTGGTTCCTCACACTTTCTAGTGTAACAAGAAGCATCTGCTGCTGTACCAAGGAGCTCCTGCAAGGAAAAACAGCGGCAAATATGAAAACAAGGGTCCTGAACAAGAAGGCTGAAACACAAGAGGCTGAGGAGCAGAACAAGGAGAGGCTGAGGGAATCCTGCTCACACCTGGAACTGGTCCTGCAAAGGATAAAGAACATGAAACATAACACTGATGAGCCTGCATGGAAGAATGTGTTGCAAAACAGGTCTGTCCATAGTGGTACTTGCTGGATAATGGATCCATTTACCCTTCGTGACGCCACTCTTTTCCACCTTATTACAAGGAGAAACCCAAGCTGCAGTGTCATGGGCGGGCTACGGGGAACCGCAGGTCTAATTACAGGGCCAGTTCCCAGAAGGCGACTGACGTTCCTGTCTGAAAAGAGCTTCCTAAGCAGTTCTGGAGCATCTTCTATAAAGCCACAGCAAAGCCAGCCCCAAACAAGTCGGAGCTGATCCTTGCTCTACTTCAAGTCTGCCAGAAAGTTCTCTCTTCATCTGGTGCCAGGGTACTGATACAGCTTGCAAACCAGTAACCGTTCCTGAGGTTTAACCAGCTAAAAACAAACTAGCAAACATCTAGTCTCACACCCTGGTACTAAATTGCCAGTCCCACCAGAGTTTATCAATGCTATAGACTCAAGTTTTCAAATAATCTTGATTCATTTCTCTGGCCACTGACTGAAAAGGGATCAGGCCCGTAGCTCTGGACAGATTCAATCAGAATGTTTACTGGCATCGACTATAAATACCCAGTGGGGCTGGGCTACAAGCCTCCAGCCTGCCTCTCAGAGAGCCTGCATTATTTATGGAAGAGCTAACTGCTGAGTCTCTCATGGTTCAAGGTCAGCATAATTAAGAATATAGGACAGGATGCAGTGGAGGGGGACCTCTACTGTCAAGTCAATACCATAGAGACTGAATTATACACATTTACCAATCCCCGTGGGTGTTTGTTTATATTTCTGGGGAGAGATCAGAAAAACATCATCATCATCATCATCATCATCAGATAGTACAGGGGGATTGAACCCAGCGGAATTCTTTCACTGAGCTGCATCCCCAGCACCCACCCACCCCTACACACATAAACACACTGTTTTGTTGTTGCTGTTGTTGTTGTTTTGTTTGATGTAGGGTCTTGCTAACTTGCCCTGGCTACCCTTAAATTTGTCTTCTTGTCTCGGCCTATCAAGTAGCTGGTATTCCAGGCCCTGCACTACTGTGTGAGGCCTGAAAAAAACATTTTTAATGGCCATTTTTAAGCCCAAAGCTAACTGGTTGAAACATAACATGGCCTATTATGCACTAATCTACAAATATGGAGAAAAGCAAGGAAGAAAAAGTAATTCAGAAACCAAACTGGATTTATAATGTAGAGTTTCAGTAAAGTATGAATTACTGCAAAAATCTGTTAAGATGGCACACTGTAATTTTATCAAAATGAAAATGTATTATCTTCTTCAACCAAAAAAATTAAACAAAACAGCAAAAAATCTTCACATGACAACTAATGACATTTGTACAGTGCGGGAGGTAAACAGTATAATCAGAAATCACAGGCCAGGAAGGTCTGCTGAGAACCACTTAGTCTACTACCGTGCCACCTCTCCTTACAGAACAACAGCTACATGCACGCACACACGCGCGCGCGCACACACACACACACACACACACACACACACACAATCTGAAAAGGATACCATCCTATTTTTAAAGGCTACTCAGAAGGGAAATGTTCAAGACCTACCCTGATAACCTTGCTATACAAAGTCTTTCCTTTTATCTACCTTCAACTCCAATTTGATTGGATTCACTTTTACTGAAGCATAAAACCAAACTATTTTAGAATTTAAGCCAGATGTGCTAGTTCTGACAATGTTAGCAAAATAAAGCCTCAGCGATAAGAACGCAGAAATTTTACTTCATAAAACAATTTTTGAATCAGCACTTTTTCTTAAGCAAAATTCAGTTATATTCTTCTGTAACTGCTAGCTCCACCTCTGTATAAGTTTAGATCAAACTTTGCTTTTAGCTGATTAGCTAACTAGTCAAAAATATCTGTATTGCTATATATGGTGTTCCTTTTTTTTAAAGAAAAGCCAAAAGAACTAAAATTCACATTATGCCTTAAGACACACCCAAGTACAAGGGTATTTATTAAAAAACAATAAATGACAAACACTGCCATCCCAGTACACAGACCTACCGAGGCTCTGAGTGTCCTGAACTGCTCTTGAGTCTGAGACCCACACGGCCTTCCAGAGGAGCAGCACCCAACACGCCTGGTGCCTTTGTATCCAACACTAAGCCTCCCTCTACTCACACATAAAAATTTAGGCCCCAAACTGGGGATTCTGTGTAAATGCCGCCTTGCTAAAAACCACACATTTTAAGCTGTAATCATAATTTTAACTTTTCTGAGCCATTTTTCACTTCTAACAAGATCAAATTAGAGTCTAAATACTTAGGCTTTTCACGGTGCCTGTTCAGTGAGAGCAAGCTGAACCCCACCTACCCAAATCAGGAGGCACACAAAAGGGCCTTCGAGTCACCAAGGGGCCACTTGACTGAGGCTATGCGAGAACAATCCATACGGAAAGAAAATTTGAAACTTCAGATGTTTAAAAAACCATTATGGGTCAAACTAAACTTTGCAGGCAGAATTGCTTCCCTAGGGAAACAAAGGGGACACACCCCACAAAGGCAGCAATCAGGGCAGAGAGTTCAAAGATGAGAAAACCGGCACTGCTGGGAGAGGAGGGCAGTTTAGCTCAGTAACTCAGATGGATGTGCTCATAATGCTCCAGCTTGGACTAATGCATCCTAAACCAGTGCCTGTTCAGTAATAAAAGAAGTTGCATCCCAAAACAACTAAATATAAGCCCAGGCTTATGAAAAATCAGATCTGGTAGTCAACATCCAAAACCTATTTTCATTTCATCAACAAACAAAAACATCTTTAGAGAAAAAGCAACATTCTGTGCCTAGAGGTAAAAAGTTACTAATTCAAAGAAAGTCATACCACTCTGTGACTAAGAAGTCTAAAATTCAAACTCTTCAGGGTCCATTAGTTTTCTTTTACTTGTGTACTTAAGACCAAAATGGGGGCTCTCCTGGTTTATTGGTATATGAAGATATATAAATGCTACTATTTTCAACCCATGCCCAAAGGCCCCTGAAAAAACCTCTCTTGAGCCCTACTTTGCACTGAGGATCTCTTGATGGTTAAACTTTCAGCTTTTACTGATATCTAGCACAGTAAAACAGCTTCCAATGCAAAACAGATTTTGGGAAAATAGTGTTCTTGTTGAAATACATGTGGAAGCCCAGACAAAAGAAACATCAGTGAAGCACAAATAAGAGTTTAATTTCCCAAACTTAGTGGGGAGTGAGCCCCTTAATTAAAGCCTTTGTGGCATCTCCTTGAGGTCTATAATTGTCTCTGTGCTCAAACGGCAGGGCCACTCTGAGGACCTCGGGGTCATTCCTGGGCCCATAATCTAGAGCAGCACCCAGTCTTTAGCACATTTTCTGGCTAATTGACCATCAAAGAGTCTGTGAGCGCCTCTCTTGCTCGTTGGCAAACACCTTTCACAGTTTCTTTTTGGGCCATCCTCTTTAGAGTAACAGTACAGCCCAGGGTTTGGATAACCATTACACACAGAGTCACTCCTATAATTTTATGCAGCGTCGGAAGTGGGAACTTAAGGCAGTAATTGAACGGACCAAATCTGAAAGCATTGAACTGTGTTGTCAAGCACAAGGCTCCCTATCCTTCCCCCAAACCCCCCTGACACTGGGTACATGCAATACATTCATCTGCCACTTTCTGTGGCCTATCTCTAAAAAATCATCTACACATACACTTCTACTCTTCCCTTCCTTCATATAATCAGTACATGATTTGGGGTTCAATCTCGCATGTTGTAAATGCTTGCAATCTGCTATTTTATCACCCAATTTTTCTACAATAAAATAAAAAAGAGGATAAGAAACACTGGAAAAGGAATGTCTGTATATCACATGTCATAGGTAATAATAAAACTCACCCTGTGAGTTTTCTACATACATAAGTCCCCAAATTCCGGGATGAGGCAGAACATGAAGACATACACAGATACTGAAACCCACTGGGCCAACTGAATTTATTTTAAGTCTGTCCTAAACAAAGAAAGGAATAATCATTTAACAGGCTGACTCTAAGGGTGACAGCTACCACCCCCCTAAGTTCCCCAGTGTTCCATTCTAGAGAGCAAATGACTGCGCAGGTGACAAAGCAAAGAATAGGGCTTAAGCTGTAATTCCCTAGGCAGTAATTGTTCCTGGTTTCCCATCACTTTTCTGAGAATGTAGAAACAGAAACTGTCCAGTCTCATCTAATATCATTGCAAGTATATCAATATCACCTTTTCTAAATAACGTCGACTTAAAGGAAAAGATAAGACTGCAAGATTAAAACAACACTAAAACAAAACATATGCCATGCACATGAACATGGTGTCATTTTTAAGGATATTTGTTTTCAGAGTTTTAGAACAAGCAGATTTTTGAAGTCACCAATGGAATTACAGAAAGGGTGGGAAGGGCACAAAGTACATTAACTTATAAAAAGAAAAGGGCAGAGCCAAAATATTATTCATGAGGTATAAATAAAAATAACAAAAAATCATTTTTTTCAGATCTCAGTACACTTGGGAGAAAATTTCTCTGCAAAGACCATTAAATTTGTAAGTGGAGAATGAATAATTTCCAACTGGTAATATAAAACACTCATTTCCCCAGATGTATATGACTCTTCACCTTGCATTTGAAGTGAAATATTTA